GAAGAATGTTGAGTATCTTCTATTTTATGAGTCATATCCCTAGCTTAGTATTGTAAGAAGAATGTTGAGTATCTTCTATTTTATGAGTCATACTCCTAGCTTGATATCGTAAGAAGAATGTTGAGTATCTTCTATTTTACGAGTCATATCCCTAGCTTGGTATTGTAAGAAGAATGTTGAGTATCTTCTATTTTATGAGTCATATCCCTAGCTTGGTATTACAAGAATAATGTTGAGTATCTTCTGTTTTATGAGTCATATCCCTAACTTGGTATTACAAGAATAATGTTGAGTATCTTTTATTTTATGAGTCATACCCCTAGCTTGATATCGTAAGAATAATGTTGAGTATCTTCTATTTTACGAGTCATATCCCTAGCTTGGTATTGTAAGAAGAATGTTGAGTATCTTCTATTTTATGAGTCATATCCCTAGCTTGGTATTACAAGAATAATGTTGAATATCTTCTGTTTTATGAGTCATATCCCTAACTTGGTATTATAAGAATAATGTTGAGTATCTTCTATTTTATGAGTCATATCCTTTGCTTGGTATTGTAAAAAAATCAATCAAAGTTTATTGACGTTGTTTTCTGTATGTGAGAGTCAATGATATTTCATAACAGTTGGCCAGTCATGTCACTTCCGAGATCAAGTTTCTCTTTAGGATGAAGAGGGTATGAAGAAAACGACAATGCAGTTAGATGTAATGTATATTAAAATCTGTAAAATGACTTTGCTGACGACACTAGCAAATAGTATACTCTACAGAGTTAAATATTTGTGTAAACAACGAATATTTTACACCATAAAAGGTTGTTACATAGCCTTCATAAAAGCGACCAAAGCAACGCCCAAATAATGCCAAGATAGTTCTGATACAATCGGCCGTAGTTATTACGTGACTTGCTGATTTGTGTTAAGAACTCAGAATGAGAATAAAAATAAACATTCTCATTTTAGGTTTGTTTGTAGTTAAACACAAAGCTACACAAAGGGCTATCTGTGCTCTTCCGACCACTGGTATTGAAACCCGGTTTCTAGCGGTGTAAGTCCACAGACGTACCGCTGTGCCACTGGGGGGTGGGGGTGTCGTATTAGCACAGTAATTTAGTGTTTTTATATATATATATATATATATATTCTCATTTTAGGTTTGTTTGTAGTTAAACACAAAGCTACACAAAGGGCTATCTGTGCTCTGCCGACCACTGGTATTGAAACCCGGTTTCCAAAGGTGTAAGTCCACAGACGTACCGCTGTGCCACTGGAGGGGGTGGGGGCTATCGTTTTAGCACAGTAATTTAGTGTCTATATATATTTTTTTTCTTCGAGTTCACTTGGTGCAGTCATGATGCTAACACACTGTAACTCTCATTTGAACTGAAAATGATTACTACATAAGCTGAACCGAAAATCTCCACCTTTCACAAAAACACGAACAACTACTTCTGGCAAGAAAAGAATTTAAGACGTAAACTAGGCACAGATGTAACGGCTTAACTCGGTATTGTGACTTCTATATATTTTCTTCAAAGTATTTAATTTTTTCTTTCTTTCAGGTATTGAACAGTTGATAGTGACATATTTATTAAAACGGAATTAGAAAGTAGTTGAATTTCATAAACATAAATAAAAAACAGTAATTGCTGCAGCAAAGTGCATTATAAAAAAATAGAACTTTCTGAACTTTATCCATAATGGTTTGGACGTAAAAAGTGACGTAAAATGTGAAACCTTTTCATGCGTAAGGTGCATATTCCACATGTTAATTAGTGTTTAGCATTAACAGTTAAAAGACTCGGCTATCTCAATTTATATATAAATATATATTAAATATGCTAATACAATACCGTGCTAGAGCAGTTGAAGATCCTTTGTGTATTCATTTTCTTGTATTTTGTGCAAAGGTACTCAATATCTATTCAATGTCATCAAAAATTTTTAATTGAGAGATTTGAGGGAAGCCAGCTAGCCACCACCAACTCTTGGGCTACTCTTTACCAACGAATAGTGAGACTGACCGTTACATTATAACGGACCTACGGCTGAAAGAGTGAGCATGTTCGGCAACGGGGTTCAATCCCGCATCTCGCAGATTACGAGTTGAGCGCCCTTACCACCAGGGACATGCCCAGTCTTTCTAAAGGCACAAAGGTGCAGTTTATCCAATAAAATTATATCATGTTCATGTCAAGAACATGGTAGAGAATATCAGCTCTGTATTCTTGATTTGCATTTAATTTATTGTTCATTATAATTTAGTTTCAGTTTTAACATACTCAAATATTGCATATTTAAACAGAAGCAACTTTCATTTTCAAGACTATTAAAAGTCTAGAAATGTGAGTTATGTTAATTTAGTATGCTCATGTGATGTTGTCTATTCCATCAATTATATAAGACAATTCTTTATTAGTATTTCAATAGAATTTGTCTGCCCGAAAGTACAACCTTTAATAAACCAAGTTGAGCAATATTTTGTTTTCATTAATTGAAACTTTATGCGCGGGGCAAGGCAGGACTAGGTGGTTAAGGCGCTCGACTCGTAACCTGAGGGTTGCGGGTTCGAATCCCCGTACCACCAAATATTCTCGCCCTTTCAGCCGTGGGGGCGTTATAATGTAACGGTCAGTCCCACTGTTTGTTGGTAAAGAGTAGCTCAAGAGTTGGTGGTGGGAGGTCTTTCGCTGCTAAATTAGGGAGGATTAGCGTAGATAGCCCTCGTTTAGCTTTACGCAATTTTTCAGACAAAACACTTTTCGGTGCGTAGTTTTTGTTTTCTTCCAAAGCGTAGCCTTAGTTTTTAATGAGCTCCTGTTTTTTTGTTTTGTTTCTTAATTTTTTTTAATCAAATACATCAGTTAGCGACTTCCTATAAAATAAATCAACCCAAACCCGAATCAATCTTGTCAGTTTTGAAAGTAGCAATATTTTAAAGACTTTTGACGAAATGGCCTTTTTTTCATAGTAGATATTTTGTTGAGTGAGTTTGTCGTATATTGATCTCAGAATAATGTTGCGTAACACCCTGTTGCTCAACGTCTGTAAGGTGATGGCGCCAGTGGAGTGCTCTGGAATAAGAAATACAGGTTTCGCTTGTCATCGGAAATCAAAACTTTTAAAATCCAAGACAACCACATCCACCGAAGCCAATATTACTGAAGCATCGTGTAACCACAGCATATAGATTATCTATACATGCACTTTTTCGTTCGCTGGTTCGATACTAATTTATTTCAGATGATTACTGAAAGAAATATAAAATAAAATAAAACTATGTCAAGGCCAAGACATTCAACATAAATCAATGTAGTTTTCTCTAACTAAAAATCTCAGACTCAGACAAGTTTTGAAACTTTTATTTCATTTCAAAGGAATGGCATTAACTGAGCTCTGGAGGACTGATGGGGGAATAGTAACATATGCCAAGGATAGTAGCGCAAATAGAATTCGTGTAGCTTTGCGCGAAATTCAAAAACAAGCCAAGGATAGAGAAGAAGAAATAACAAGTGGTTTCCTTATGGAAAGATAAACAAAAGCTAAACTTGTGAGGCATACGCCATTTAAAATTATTTACCTGATTAGGTGTATTATTCCTGTGTATTTGTTCTTTAAAAAACTAACTTATGAGTAATAGTAGTAGTTGTGAAAGCCAAACTTCATAAACAGTTGACGTACAAGAAGTTTGTAAGGATGTTATTAACTTGAACTTTCAAAAGAAGATTCCCTTAAGGGAAATAATAACTACTCAATTTCTCAAACTTAAAGTTGACTCTTAAAGATTCTGTAATACAAGTAATTCATGTAGTTATTTCATAAATGAAAAAGTAAGATTTCGGACTCAATTTTTCAAACTTAAAGTTGACTCTTAAAGATTCTGTAATACAAGTAATTCATGTAGTTATTTCATAAATGAAAAAGTAAGATTTCGGACTCAATTTTTCAAACTTAAAGTTGACTCTTAAAGATTCTGTAATACAAGTAATTCGTTGACTCTTAAAGATTCTGTAGTACAAGTAATTCATGTAGTTCTTTCACAAATGAAAAAGTAAGATTTCGGAAATGTTCGTGACAAATGATTTTGTTTCTAGATTATGTAAAGATTTTAAAGTTCTCTAGCGAGTGCTCAGGGAGAGGGAATAAAGTTTATTAAGCAATAAGTGCCAGTCAGAGGGAATTAGTGGTAACCTCCCCTTTTTTTTCATATTTTATGCAATATCCAGAATTGAAGTTTCTTCACATCATGTTCGCCATCTCGACATTCGCGGTGTTACCGCTATTTCTACTGTATAATTGGATACAAGTGCTATATGATCTAGAATTTTATTGGAGATACTTGGAAAGCTATTACGAAGTTCGTTGATCAGCTTTTATAATTTCAATTTTATTCTGTCACATAACATACTCGTATAAACGGTTGCTCGGTGGATCTCTCTGGAAGACTCTAATTTTACAATAGAATGTCTTCATAGTGTTCCATTATCTTAAACTTGGTTCGACGATACAGTCCGTAACCCTTGTTATAATCACTCTGTATTTTATTTGGAGTTATTTATTACACCCTGCAAGGTTATAAGTACGCAAATAAGTAGTTTATTTGGACAAAGCTTCTGTATTAGAAAATAATCAAAGCTACGCTTTACTGGTGCAATAAAACAAAACAGTTTCTGATATTTATTTAACTTGCATCTTCATCTGATGAAGAAATCGACCCCTTCTGGTGTTACCTTATTAGTGTGCCGAAAGAAGACACCAGGGGTTTGATAATGTCTTTCATATTCTTAGCACGAGACTAGTTTTTATTTCGATTGTCATCTGTAAAAGTAAATATGATTTCACATATTAAAAAGCATCTATCTGGCTTGGGTGTCCATTTCTTTGTCTGTTTTTTCCGTCTTACATTGTTATTTGAAATTGAGTCTAACTCACGACTGCTATCGGAGAAGTACACTTGACGTTCTGAACGAAATAAAATCAATATAAACCCCTCCAGTTACGGCTTGAACCACGGTGTGAACTATAGTCGTGGATAGAGAGGCGTCACGCTAATGACAGGTAAGATTTCCTCTGAGTTATCTGGCACTCTTTTCGTAAGATGCACGCACTATACTGTATATGCTTGCGTATATAAGCTGTAGCTGTTATTATCCATACTGAGGCCGCCTACTCACATAAACGTGTTTACGAAGTATCCTCTTTCTTGAAAGAAATAATCAACCCTACCCCCAAAGAATAAATTACTAATTCTACTATACCTCAAGTACATATACCCATTTCTAAATAGAAGGTCATTAATAAGACCCCCCTTGCCAAGTTTTTTCAACCCAGTTTTATTACGTATTTTGTATTTCTACGTATATTAGGAGAGGAAAGAGCGAACCTTTTTTATCTGAAGCTCTAGACTTAAACAGTTACATATTCTGGGCACACAATGGAATACGACTTACGTAATTTTCATCTCTTGCAAGAATGGGGTAATTTGGCAGATTTGAATATTCGGTATCTGTTTGTAAAAGACGCTTATATAAAGAAAATTTAAGAGCTAATTAATGTATAATTGTAATCGAAATAAGCATAAAAAATAGAAGATGGAAACATATTTGTCTTGGTGTTTTTATCGGATACGTCGTGTTAGAAATTACAGAATAATTCATTGCAGTTGACGTATTTTAATCTGTATATATGTTTATTAAGTGGAGCTGCTTATACGTCTGGTCTTGCCATCCCCGTGAAGCTAAAGAAATAAACACCGTGTTAGATTCGAAAGCATTTGTCTTTATTATTATTATCTGCGAATAACCCGTAATCAAAATACTTCGCGTTAAATCACGCGTGATTTAGCGAAGAAATCAAGGAAGTATTTATTGAATTATTATTATTAATCCAGAGCGTTGACAGCTATTCTTATTCCTTGGAAGTGTTGGAATTATTATTATTAATCCAAAGCGTTGACAGCTATTCTTATTCCTTGGAAGTATTTGAATTATTATTATTAATCCAAAGCGTTGACAGCTATTCTTATTCCTTGGAAGTATTTGAATTGTTATTATTAATCTAGAGCGTTGACAGCTATTCTTATTTCTTGGAAGTATTTGAATTGTTATTATTAATCTAGAGCGTTGACAGCTATTCTTATTTCTTGGAAGTATTTGAATTATTATTATTAATCCAGAGCGTTGACAGATATTCTTATTCCTTGGAAGTATTTGAATTATTATTTTAATCCAAAGCGTTGACAGCTATTCTTATTCCTTGGAAGTATTTGAATTATTATTATTAATCCAGAGCGTTGACAGCTATTCTTATTCCTTGGAAGTATTTGAATTATTATTATTAATCCAGAGCGTTGACAGCTATTCTTATTCCTTGATTTTATTTGAATTATTA